CACACATCCCCATAGCACTTTGTTTTGCCTCCCTTGACACACAGCATATGCGCTTGTGACGACTGTGCATGTTTCTCCCTACCAGACTGTTGGCTCCTTGAGAGCAGAGCCTGGGTCTCAGCCACTGTGATTGCCACAGCATCTGGCAAAGCCCCTGGTGTATGGGAGGTCTCAACCAAGGTGTGTTATTGATGAACAAAGGGATCCTGTTGTGAATCCTTTCGAAAGTGCAATGAGCTTTGTTAATAGGAAGTACTAATTCCCTAATGTAATTTATTGAAGACAGGGATCCCCAGAATGAGTGAACTAAGGGACACTTGAGACCCTCTTCTTGAATCTGCTCACTGAGGTTAAGTGAAATTTCAGATCAGAGCACTTAGAAGGAGGAAGAGAGAGCAAGTTTAGGAGTAGGGGATCTGGTAGGATCCCCCAATACCACATGTGTGTGCACACACATATGCACATACATGTTCACATAAGAAAGAAGTAGGCTCCTTGCTAACACTCCCAGCTCCTAGCCTTCTGCCTGGGACCCTCCCCAGATATATTGTGAAGGTATCACAAAAGATGATCAGTACTGATAGCCAAGCTCTTTGGCTTGAACAGGCCCTGTCCAAAAGACACATAGATTGTCCTGCTTCTCTGGGACATTTTGTCTAACAGTGAGAACCAAGAAATGGAGACCATTACAGCTAACCCTGTTGTATACTATGAAAGTGACTTTAATACTTCCTAATACCCCAAGAGGCTGAACATTTTCTAGATACCACCTTATTCAGCCTGCTCAGGACATGAAGAAATGGGGAGCAAGGAGGCAGAAAGGATTTCTCCTTATTTCACAGAAGGAGAAACTGAGCCCCAGAGCAAACATGGGAGTCTCCCAAATCATTCGGTCCATTAAGAATGCAGCTTGGATGCCGTGGCCAGTAGATACATGGTTAGGACCCAGAAGAGATCATTTGGACAGAGGCCTCACCCTTGAGCTTTGAAAACACCATTGTCCATGTGTCTCAGCTAAGACCCCACCCCCCCATGAGTACTCACTCCCCCCTTTTCCCCAGGCCTCCCATCTGTTAGAGACTTGGAACTCCATAGTCTTCCTCCTCAATCCCCACCTACCCCAGGTGTGCCACCTGCTACAAGCATGTGGCCAGACAATTTGGCCCATTATCTCCCTCCCCACCTCCATTTATTGCGTATAGCCTCTTATGGGGCAATGCCTTAGGACCATCTTGGCGGCTAGTACCACCAAAGGCAAACAGGATATGAAGGGTACAGGGAAAGCTGGCTAGATCTGAGGAATGTTGGAGAAAAAAGAGAAAAAGAGAGGAGGAGGAGGAAGCCTCCTCCAGAGCTGCCCATGACTGATTTCCTTTTCTGGTTTCCACCCTGTGAACTAGATTTATGCCCTCTTCCTCCCTCCTCCACAATCTCTGGAAGGCAAGGATCACAGCAAGGACAGTGTTAATATGGAGGCTGAGGAGTGCATCCTGAGGCCAGACATGCATTTGATGGCTGTGGTCTAGGGAATCCATCCTTGGGCCTCAGCGAGATACTGATGCTGTCTAGGGAAGAGAGATATGCTGGGTGTCCTCTTGAGATCTCTGTAAAGATCCTGAGCCCCTGTGAGTTCCCACTCTAAAGGCAAACCAGGAAGGCTCCTTTGTGCCCCTTTCCCATCAGGCTCAGAGAACACTGTGTTTGGGGATCCCTCCTCCATCACCCCAAAGGTGGTCTGATTCTTCCAGACTTCCACCTGGGATGGTCATCACCTCCTGTGTGCATGCTGCTCCTGGTCTAGGTGAGGGCTATCCTCTGGGGAGGAGGAGAGAGCAGGGCCTCCCAGCTGTAGTGAAGAGGGAGGGATGGGACTCCTGTGATCCTACCACAGGAATGTTTTTAAATCCTCTTCCCATCGAGCTTTTGAAAAAATGATGATCCAGTTAAAGCAGCAACTGCATCTGCTCCATTGGCAAGTGAAGTCGAAGCAGCTTCCTCGGCCTTAAGGCTCTCTTGGCTGGAAATCTGGCCAGTCCTAGATGTAGGGCCTGGGAGAGCCTGGCCAAGGGGAGCCTGGGGATGCTTTGAGGACAGTGTAGGTGAGTTGGGCTCTTGGGGGGATCCCTGAGCACTACAATGTGGGTAGGGGAGCAGTTCACAGGAGAGCTGCAGGCAGCACCAAGATGCAGTTCTGGGTTCTATCACAGACATATCTCCTGGAGGGGGTGGGCGGGGGTGCCTACATGGCCATGGTCCCCACACTGGGGTTTGATGGGACTAGGCCTAAGGGGAGAGGCAGGAGTGGCCTGGGTGGTACTGTGCCAGTGGAGGGATTGACCGTGGGAATGCTGAAGTCTCAGGGGTGCGAGCTGTAGTGGGTCGGTGGTCTTAGGACCTTCTCATGGGTGGTCAGCTGATTCGTTCAGTTGGCCAGTGCGTGGCTCAGCTCTGTGCTGGAGGCCAAGGTCAGCAGCTCAGGGACCACACACACCTTTGATCAGGTCTATTCTTAGCCCTCTGGTCCTGTTGGGTGTTGTCACTGATGCGTGTAGCTGATAACTAGTGCAGTGGCTGGACAGGAGGATGACAACGTGAATCTACTCTTACCTCTACTGGGGAAGAATTCTCGCTACCGTCCTGAGGCCAGGCTAAAGCATGGTGTTCCTCCTTATAGTAAAGACCCCCTATTTCTCCACCTGACTGCAGTTGCTCGATTTTGTCCTATTCTTATTTTGCAGACTGCTGTTACCCTCTGGGATCTCTTTGTCGAAGTACTTCTCAGGCCCTCCTGTGGGGCTGTCCTTGGCAAGTTGGGGCTGGGGATGGGGCACTGTGCCCTCCATGGGAGACTGTGGGCAGGCAGAGGGTGACTTAGAGTGTCCTTTCGGTCTACAGCCTGTTAGGTGGGCATGAGACAGATGGGAAGGAGGCAGGAGTCAGGCAAGCCTTGGATGTCGTCCTGTGGGCCTAGGTGATGGGCAGCCACTGGAGAAGTGGAGGTAAGCTGGTCGTGGTCACCTGAACACACATGGCTTTGCCTTCTCTGCTGGAGGAGGTGGGGGCTACTTTAGTTCATCCAGTAATGGCATCAAATCATTAAAGTACAAATTAGAGGAAAGGAGGAGGGGGTCAGAGCATTTCTCTTCCTAGAGGAAATTATTTCCTCCGTTAGCAGAACAGTCCTCTAAGCCCTGACTCTCAGTCATTTCACACTGTAGTTCTATAAATCCATCGATGTTTAGAGGTCTATATTGACTTCTCACAGTTTAGCCTGTAGCTGGTCCTGGGCCACAGAGTCAAAGGTCAGAGAAAGGTTGACAACAGCCATAACCAGTCCCGTGCAGTTGCTGACAGCTTTCTCTGCAGTATGAAAGGGGACACCCCAGTGGGCTCAGGTGGACCAGCCATACCGTGGTGGTCTTTTCTCTGCCCACATGTCCTTTGTCTCCATCTTCACCCAGGGCCAGTTTACCCTTAGAGAGTCAACTTGAGCATTTTCCTCGTACATAATCATTTGCCTACATTTTTCCTCCTCTCCCCGGGACCCATTTCTAGGTCTGGCATCGTTCCCACAGCAGTGTCTGTGGCCCTGTGCCCAAACTGGATATTATACCTTTTCTAAAAGGTAGTAAAGTTGATAGCAAAGATGATAACATTTAATCTGCATCTCTTCGATTTTAAGGAGGACTTTTGTTTTTGTTAGGTTCTAGCCAATTATATGTATTATTTTGTGAATTCCTTGTTCAAGTCTTTTACTCTTTATTCTGTGGAGCATTTGCTTTCTCTTATTGATTTGGTAGAATTCCCCTGTCCCCCATATATGTTGTAAGTATTTTCATAGTTTATTGATGGCTTGAATCTTTTTAAAAGGGCTTTTGTGTCCATACAGAGATTTTCACTTTTATGCACTGAAGTCTATCAGTGTTTTCCTTTATAATTTCTGCCTCTGACGTGGGGCTTCCAAAGGCCTTTCCCACAACAAAATTATGGAAACATTTATGCGTGTGTTCTGCGAATTCTTTTATGGTTTCGTTTTCTACATTTCATACATTTAACTCTTTCATCCATCTGGAATTGATTGATTGTGTCTTTGTAAATGGCTTCAAATTCCCTTGGAAATGAAAGTGATTAATAGAGCAATTAATTCATTAATTAACATGGCGGGGAGGAGAAGCTGGTAGAAGAGGAGAGGTTGAAGATACGGGAGAGGGATGGGATAATTAATGGATCAAGGTCTGGGAGGGAAGGGATTGAGTGCTGGGCCAGAGGGTGCATAGGGAATGGCTATGAGGAAGCCTATGAGCCCAGTGCCCAAATCTCCGTAACTGAGGGGTAGGGACAGTGGGGAGGGACCAGGAGAGATGGCGTCAATGAGGACCAGTGAATGGTAGGAGCCAGGTGGCAGGAGCCTAGGGTCGGGGGGAGGTTTCCAAGTTTATGATTTGCGGGGGTCGGGATTGGCTGCTCTACCTTTGAGCCCAGTGGGATCTGGAAGATTACATTCCACTGGACAGGAATCCTGGGCACTTTTGTCAGATAAAGTGGCAGGTGGAAGGAACATGCAGAGAAAAGGCTGAAGGCACAAGGGAGTTGGTTTACTGTGGGCAGGGGATTCTAGACTCAGGCTACAAGGAAGGGTCTGAGAGGAAGGGGCTGTGAGAAGGAGAGTCTATCCCCGATCAGTGGAGGGGAGCAGAGTCAGGGAAAGTTAAATGAACCCCGTTTGTACAGAGCATCATGGTTCGCAAGGCACTTCCACATATGTGTCTATACATGAGCTTCACAGCAGTGTTTCGGGGCAGAGAGGTAATGGGGTTTGCCCAGAGTCAGGCAGGCAGACAGGCACTGACTGAGTCAGGATGTGAAACCAGGAGCCCTGATGCCCAGCCCGGATGCCTGTGCCTCCTCCCCTGACCCCGGCATCGCCTTTATACACTCAGGAGCAGCAGCTTGGGATAGGGCCTAACGATCCTCTTTTCTCTCCTCTCTCTGCAGGACAGTAGTCCTCACTGCTGCCTTGCTAACCATGAATGGGATGGCCAACGTGAACTCTGCCAGCCGCCCCCACTATGCCTCCTCTATCCCTGTGCCTCGAGCTGCTTCCCAGACCAGGACTCATACCCCGGGCGCCTCTCCCCAGCCGCGGCCACGCCAGGCCGGCCTGGCCCTGAGCCCCCAGCGTGCAGCCTCCCCAAGACTGGGCAAGGCAGGAGGTCCTTCCAGAAACTCCTCTCCTAAGGCCTCCCGGGGGAGAGGCTCCCCCAAGGCTTCTGGGGTGGTGAGAGAGTCAGCTGAGGGTGGTGAAGGCCTTTCCAGCTCCCCATGGAGCAGTCCCAGGGCAACCCCAAAAGCAGCCCTCTCCAGCTGGGCTGGGGCCAGAAGAGTTGGGGAGACACAAGGCACCCAGGGAAAGAAGAAGGTGGCTCAAGAAGGGATTCCAGTCCGCCAGAGCCGGGGCAGGAGCCCGTCCCGAACAAGCTCTCGTGGAGAAACTCAAATACCAGGGGCTCCTGAAGGTCGAAAACTTCCTAACTACCCAGGAAAGGATCAAAGAGATGCAAACTACAGAAGTTCAGGGGTCCCCAGGTCTTTGGAGCCTGATGCCGGGGCAGTATCAGGGGCTTCCTCCCCAGGGTGCAGCCCCGTGCCAAGCAAACGCCCCTCCCCCACCCCTGGGGCCATCAGCTTCGCCTCGGGCCATCAGCAGAGTCAGCCAGTCACCGCCACAGTGGCCCCCTTCCAGTACAGGTGAGCTGGGGGGTGCAGGTGGGGAGGGAAGCAGGGAGGCATGGAGCTGGGACCCAGCAGCCAGCCCGAAGAGGAGGGGGCCTCGGTCCATCAAGTACATCATTTTTTTAATAAAAATATCTTTACTAAAATGGCCACATTAAGTAAACTAAATTTTAATTATTAAGTGTTACACAGTTTTGAAACGCTCAAATGCAAATTAAGTACCTCTCTGGCTAGCCTGACTTCTGGGCTTTTTCTCTGCGCTGGTGTGAGGAGAAACCCACTTACATCTAGGGTTTAGAAAAGCTTGTACACCATTCCCGGGACACGGCAGGGCGGGGGGGGGTGGGGTTCCTCTGCAGCAGCAGAACATCTGGGGGTGGAGGTGGGGGGGAACTACTAGGAGCTTTCACTTTTACTAGAAGCCAACAGTGTGACTTGGTCTCTGAAAAGTTCCAGGCACTCTTATACAGTTAGAGACATCCGGGGCCCAGGACCAGGAAGCCAGTAGTCCCACTGTATTCGCCATGTGGTCATGCCTCTTTTAGAGTATCACAGTTAGGAACGCCACATTTTAAAAGGGCATCGATGCCCAAAAACACATTTCAAGAAAGGTGAACAGGTTGGTGAGGGATACAAGCAAGCGTTAGAAGAATGATTAAAGGAGCTGAAGCAGTTTACTTTGGAAAAGGGAGGGTTAGAGAGGGTCTGAGAGCTGTTCTCAAATATTTGAAGAGCTGTCATGTCATAAGATGGATTAGATTTACTTGGTGCGGCTCCAGAGCACTGAGTTGGCGTCACGGTGGTTAGAAGTCAGTTTGAGACAAACTGGAAGCTCAGGAGGAAGAACTTTCCAGCAACTGGAGAGGTTTACAAATGACTGATAAGGCAGTGAGCTTCCCGTCATGGCAGGAATTCTAGCTGACACTGTGATCAAAGGAAGTTCTCATTTGGGTGATCCCTGCCTCTGGGAGCATCTCTTCTGCCTGATGTACCACCCACACAGCTCACCCATGTTCCTTCTCCTAAGGAGCTCCTCCTGTCTGTGTCCGTCCGTCTGTCCTTCGTGACCTCCACTGAGATTCTCCAGCTGGTGAGAGAACTCAAGGAAGCACACATGCAGGGCAGACCTTCCTTCGAATGGCCTTTTCCCAATCAGTACAGTGTCTCCCTGGTGACTCTTTGGCTTTCTTCTCCTACCTGATTTCCTTCTACCTGACATCCTTCATTTTGAATTCAACCTTCGGGAAAAGTGTCTGGGCATTAAATTGTTTAAGATTTTACATTATCTACCCTACACGTCCCCTGGCAGATTTAGACTCTGACATTTTCCAGAGGTCAGAACTTCTTCCTTTGAACATTTCAATGTAACTTGAACAGAACCGTGTTTCTTCACTCAGCAAACATTTATTGCATGTTTGCATTTCAACAGAAATGGAAATGTGTTGTACCAACCGGGGCTGGGAGGGGGGGGCAGCTTTCTTCACCATCCACCTCCTAGACCTTGCCTGTTTCAGGCCCTGGGTTAGGGTTGCAGGGAGGGCCGTGGTTCGGGCAAGGGCGGATTAGGACGAGGGACACCCCTAGGTGCCGCTGGAAGATGGAAGAGAGCCCAGTACACCCTGTGGGGCCTGGCGCGCCTGCCACGGGTCACTCTGCCAAAGGCCAGGCTGGGCTACCCTTGCAAGTTGCATAGCCAAGGAGCTACCATCTGCTCCCTAGAAGGCACAGACATCCTGTTTTCTTAGAAATCTCCTGCCCCCACCCCCGGCACCTTGGCCTTCTGCAAAGTCCCAGCTGCTCATGGAAACAGAGGTTATCGTGCTCCCTCCCCATCTCCAGCCCTGTCCTGCCCCACCTGCTTCTCCAGGGAGCAGATCGCCAGCCTTCTCTTGCCCTGCCCTATCCTCCATAGCCGTCTCTGTCCACGCGGTCCGGGTGCGGTCCTTCCCAAGGATGTGTATCTCCTGCCTCCTCTCTGACCCGCCACCACCTCCCTCTGGTCCCCCCGGCTCTCTGGACCCCAGAGAAGGCGTAAATGCCTCTCAATCCGCTCTCCAGGTCCTCTGCTCTCATATAGCTGGTTTCCGCAGATCTTCAACCTCATTCTCCTCTGCTCTCCTGGAAGAGAGCCCTTTACAGCTTCAGTACCCTGGGGCTGCCTTTTTCCATCTGCCAAGTGTTCTCTTTTTCCAAAAGTTCTCTCCTTCCCTCCTCAGGCTGGCCTTTGGTCAGACTTCAGTGAGGAGGGTGCAGTCAGTGGGGTCAGGAGGGTAGGGTTATTGGTTTTCTTCTCTCTGGTTCAACCTCTAACCAGCTTCCAGCATAGATGACACTGTCCATTCGGGCTGGAGAGTGAGGGGAGGCCTGGGGCCCTGGCCGAGTTTGGGGAGGTGGAGGCAGGCAGAGATGAGAGTGTAGAACCGACTGAGGTTAGAGACACGGAGGCTGCCTTCCTTGGTGCTCCTGGGCCAGTGCACGCCACTCACCCTGGCAGCATAATTATGGCACCAACAAGCATGACAGCAAAGTATTTGTATTTCTAACGCTAGTTCTTGCTACCTGCTCTGGGTCAGGCGGTGCTTAGCTCTACTTATATGATGCTATTCAGTGAAACATGTACATTACCTAGAATTCCCTCTCCCCAGTAGAATGCCCTATTGCTTTCTCACCAGTATGTTGCATCCCTTCAAAAACCCAAGTCTATATTCATTTCTTCCAAGAAACCAACCAACTCCAGTTTTTCTTTGTCCCCCTGATACTCGAACATCAGGCTGATATTGAATTGACAGCAGTACATGGTGAGCGACCCCCTCAGACTGAGCACTCCCCAGGGCAAGACGAGGTCTCCTGCTTTCTCTGAGTACCCCCCACCCTGCTCTATTGCAAGCCCCCAGCTCAGGGGCCTGCAGACACACAAGAGCCCAACACTGCCTGCGTGGCTTAGAGAGAGCCACGCAGGAGCAGTAAACACCTCACACAACCCTGGACTGTCAGACTGATCTGGGCCTTGGAGGCCATCTCTTCTATCCCATGATGGAAGTGGGACCTGGAGGAGAAGAGATTTGCTCTGCATTTCACTGTGAGTTAATAGCAGAGCTGAACCCAGAGTCCCAGCCATCTGGGTTGAAAAAAAGAAAAAACTGGAGAGAGAGGAAGACAAATCACAGTAGCACTGGAGACTCACAGGGTCCCCCGGCCCAGCCCCCGGCCCCAGGACCAGACGTCAACTTTCCCTCCTGCCTGCACAGCTCTCCCCGCCCCTCCTGCCAAGCTGCCAAACGGTCCATTTAGCTGGAGACAGCGGGCGGACGGGTGGGCGGGCCAGCTCTGAGAGCCCAGGGTAATTGCCTATAATAAAAGCTCCCACAGCCTTTGTTCCTGGGAGCGATTGTACGGTTGGGGTTGTGCTCAGAAGTCTGCGTGCACTTGGGAGCTGGTGCCCGGAGACCTCACCCTTCCTTCCTGCTGCCACACTGGCCCAGCATGGACTTATGCTCCTGGGAGTCGCTGTGACCTCAGCTGAGCCTACCCCTCCATCTTCCCTGACCTCCTCACTGCCTGGACTGTGAGCAAGCCCAAGGAGGCCTGCGTGCCCCCTAAGCTCTCATAAGGAGTCGGTGACCTGCGCTTCAGAGGAAGCTCTTCCCTCTGTGTGTGAACATGGCTATAATCCAGGCACAGCCTGAGGGTAGGGATCATGGCAGGACGCAGGACCCAAGGCCTGGAGTTACTCTGGGTTTCCTCTGTCCTGTGGGCGATTTGTGTTCCTGGGATCGGTGGAACACCAAAGGGTGACTGGCATCAGGCATCCCAGTGCCCTCACGAGTTCCCCTATTGCCCCTACCACTGGCCTCACTTTGCCCAAGTCCTGCTTCGTGCTGAGTACACACATGTATGCATGCTTGCCAGGGAAGGCCCAGCCCAGAGGGGTGTAGAGCACCAGCACCGGAGAAGAACCGAGCTCCAAGGGGGTATCCTTAGACCCTTGGAGAAGCTTCGAGGCCAGGACAACCTCTGTGATGAGTGACCACCCCTTCTCTGTCCCACAGGCTTCAGACGGACCAGGAACCTGGCCCCCTCCCTCAGGCTAGCTGGGTCCTTGATGGCTACTCCGGCTGCCCTGTTGGGACTGAGGAGAGCTTCTCCTGTGCAGGTGAGTGTTCTAGAGGAAAGACTTCCTCCTGGGCTGGGGAGGCCACCAGACTAGAAGTCTCACTGCCCCTGTGGGAGAAGAGACCTGGCTAGACAGGTCTTTCTCTTCACAATGAGCCATCAGCCTGTGAATTGCACTTTGAGTTTTTGCCATGCTTGGCTCAACCCAGGGCTGGTCCATCAAATCCAGGGGCACGTCCAAGTCAGGAGAGGAAAGTGGCCAGTGGGTGCCCTGTTTATCCAGTGCTCAGGTCTGGGAGTCACCAAGGCCATGACAAAAAAAAGTAACGAGCTGGGAGATTGAGAACCAAGAGCCAGGTTCCAAGCAAAGCCCAGATGAACAGTGGAAGTGCTGGGAACCAGCGAGGCAGCCCAGAGCCATCTGGCTAACTGCCTCACAGCTGCTGCCTCTCCCAGGACCACTCCCACACCTGTCACCTTCCCTGGGGCACCCGGTAGTCACAACATATCACCTGATGCATGTCGTACTGGTGCCTGAGCCTCAGGAGCCAGAATGTGAGGCTTACCAAGAAGAGCCCCAAACCTGGAACACAGTGATGCTCTGTAGGGGCAGAGATGCTGCGTGTCCCCAGGTGCATCCTCAGGCCAGTGTCTGGCCCCCGGCAGGTGCTCAGCAGGTGTCTCTGACTGAATGACTGGTGAGCGGATGGGTGAATGCTTGTGTGCCATAGGTCAGGTCCTAGATTGGTCAGATTCTAAACTCTTAGCGGGGTTTAGGTGTGTGTGTTGATATTCCTGCAACATTAAAAAATACCTAGAGGATGACTGTGTACGCACGAGAGGTACTCGAGACTCCACACTGCAGGGCACCAGCTCTGTCTGTCCTTTAGTTTCCAAAGGGGGCTTGTCCTAGGAAAAGGATGAGCTTGCTTTTGGCAAACCTGAGATTGTCCAGCGGTTTTGTCTTAGCTTCATTTCGGTGCTTGGCTCCGGTGGGCAAAGTTCGGGTGTACGACACAGCCTGACCCTGATGCCATTGGACCCCAGTAGAATGCCATTCCTGCTTTCTTCGTCCCCTCTGTGCAGGTGGTTGGGTGTTCCTCTAGGCTGGGGGCGGGGCCCTTTGAGCCTTCTGCCAGCCTGGGCGCCAGCAGTGGTCTTGGGGCCTTTGTGACCCCGAAGACAGAGAAGCAACACTCACTCCATGGCAAACCTTGTAGAGGAGGTTTGTGGGGGTGGAGCCTGGGCATCTAGAAAGTGAGCCATTGCCTCCCACAATAAGTATGCCCGCAGAGGAACCAGGGCATGGCGGGGGACAAAGGAAACCAAATGTCACTGGCACTGAGAAACCATCAGAATTAGAATGTGGTAACCAGGAAACTATGTGGAGCTCTATTTTTACATTTGCAGTTTTGTTAGTGTAATGGCTTCCTTATGGGTATGCCACACTGTGGGAGTCTAATGATCTCCACCTAACTAGGCTCTCGTTCATAATCATTATCCGATGAGCTGGGGAGAGGACTTTCATTTTTAGCATCTGCCGCAGCCTGACTTTAGGAATCCCCCAGGCTCGTCAGCTGGAAGACCATCCTTACCAGCCAGCTCTGAGCATGTCCGATAGATCCCAGGTTGGGTTCCTCCATGAGGTGGAGTGCCAGTGAACCTTTGGAGGTGGGAGAAAAGGGAGAAGCCCTTGCTTCCTCCAAGGCTCCTGGGGAGGAGAAACCAGGTTCACTGCCTCTGCTCTGCCACGCCCTAGTCATCATGGCGATCCATGTTGGCCAAGGCCATGCTGAGCATGCCGACGGGTTGGATGGAGAGAGAGATTTAGGGTCTGCTTGTGCTTTGTAGGGGAACCTGCACTCTAAGCCTGAAGAAAACAGAGATGAGAAGGGAGACGATGGAAGACTTCCATTTTATGCCCTGTTCCCCTACCTCTGAACTTCACTCAGAGCATGACATGATTCATTCATTCTTTTCTTCTTTCATTCAATCAACAAACCATCAATGAGTGTTTGCCTTGTGCCAAACACTGTGCTCAGCACTAAGGTAAAAGATGAATAAGGGGCACCTGGCCGGCTCAGTCAGGAGAGCATGCTACTCTTGGTCTTGGGGTCATGAGTTCAAGCCCCACATTGAGCATGGAGGCTACTTTAATCATAAATAAGTAGATAGATAGATAATTTAAAATGGCATTCCTATAGAAAAAAATAAAACAAAGAGATGAATAAGACTCTGAAACTGTTTCAAGGAGTTCATAGGCTAGAGATTCACTCCAGCGAGTCTGACCCAGAGGATCGGTTGGCAGTGACCTGCCCTTGTAGGAGCTGATCCGGCAGCCCAGTCAGTCCTGCCCACATGAGGCCCTCTAGCACGAGGAGGACACTGGCATTATGCTCCTCAATTTGTAGAAGGATATTTGGGTGCCTTGGAGAATAGAATACCATATCCCATATTGGTGTCATTCACAGAACCCAGCACAGTTATTGACCATGTGATTCCCATATCAATTTGTAGACGACAAGGGGCAGGTCTGCTTTCTTTTGTAGCTCAAACATCCTTCCTTCTTGTTTGTGAACCCGTCTTGCTCCCCATGACCTAGCACAGTGCCCGCTGATCAGTGTTTGGTGAAATGGTGAATTGAGAGAGTGAATAAGGAACCCAAGGTCAGGGGTTGTGGAGTCATTGATCCTCTGTGGGCCTGCTTCTTGCTGGCTGATGAGGAGCAACCAGACTTTCTTCTGTTCTCTTCCCAATATGGTCCTCTCAGGCATCCAGGCATCTGGGGGGACAGAGGCCTTGAGGGGAGCAGGGAAGACTAAGACCTTTCTCAGCCTTGTACTACTTTCTTCCTTATTCTGCCTGGGAATGGAGTCCAAATGAGGTGGGATAAGCTTTGTAGAGCAGGAAGAGAATTTCCCACGATGACTTGCCACCACACAGCGGTGTTGGGACTTGGCCTTCGTATGTCCCAGGGGTGTTCTGCACCTAGCCCATGGGTGTTTGTGTGTGTGCCCTGACGCACTCTTGGCTCGCTTGGCTGTGCTGGTGAGGGCCCCGTGCTGGTCCCATCTGCCAACACTCCCCTTAGTTGCCACCATCAGATCTTAATTTGGAAAGCCAGTGGAAGCCAGTGCTGACATTTCTGTGTGCCCACATGTGTGAGGCCGTGTGCAGGAGGACTGGGAAAGGTCGCCCCAAGGTTGACACAGGTTCCTTAATTACTTCCACTTTGTGGCATGTTTGACTGAGTGCTAAGTGGACACATAATGAAGGGTACTTTCTCTCACCATCACATGTGTTGCTGGGGAACAAGCTAGAGCTTCCTCCCTGCCTTGCTTCTCACACAAGGCTTGATATATATAGAATAGGAGGGGCAGTGTAGAGTTTGGCCTCATGCTGGAGTTGTTTTGTTTTTCTCCTTCTTTCTTCTCCCTTGTTGAGCCGACTCCATCTTGAAGCCAGAATTAAGTTTTTTCATGTTTTGTGGATTTGGGAGCAGGGATAGAGTCCCCCTTCTGAGAAAACTTGCATACCTGGTGTGCCCTCCGCCGGGGGGCAGGAGAGAGGTCTGGTCACTGCATTCCCTGGGAGAGGAATTTGTTCAGGGCTCTTAGGTGGCTCCAGCACAGTGGGGCAAGCCCCCTGTGCTCTTCTGGGGGCTTCAGGCCAAATCCAAGTATCCCAGGGCTACTGATGACTTGGAAAATCAAAGAACACAGGAAGTCAAAGCTCTAATGAACTTTCCCCATCACCCACATGTGGCCTCATTTTCCATGGAGAGCGATGTGGCTCAGAGAGAAACAGACCTGTTCACGACTGCCTGGTTCGTTAGCAGGGGAATTGAAGCCAGGACTCCTGCCTTTTGGTGTCCCCAACTCTAAAATGACCAAATGGTAACCATGACTACCATTTATTGAACACCTACTAGGTGCAGGGCTCCGTGCTAGATTCTTCCCGTGAAGTCCTTCACGAGCATCTTATGCAACCCTTTGCAGGTGGAACTGTTATTCTGTGGAATAGATGAGGAAACTCCAGCTCAGAGAAGTTACATGAACTAGCTTGTCCGGGGACACACAGCTAGGGGGGCTGTGCCAGGATTTGAATCTGGGCTTGTCAAAAAGCCCAGCCTTCCAGCCTTCCAGCGCTGCTCCCCTGCCTTCCCGCTGCTCCCAGCACTCACTGGGTCACTGGCACACTGTCTCCCTTAACCTCCGCCAAATGGTGGGGAAGGAAACAGGGTCAGGGAGCCACAGTCCTGCTGACATCTTCCTCAACGTGAGCAAGCCCTGGGATGTCACCGGCTTCTCTGTCATCCCAAACCTGTGTCATTTCATGCTGAATTCACACCGCCGTGTCCCCTGCCCTCTGGGGACTTTCAAGCTGAGCTGAGCCTGATGTCCCAGCCATCCGTGGAGAGAGGACGTGCAGACAATTGACTAGAAAACACAGGCCGAGTTCAGGGGCAGATGGTATTAGCTCTGTTGTCAGGGCTCAGGCAGCTCCGTGCCGCTGTGGGCCAGAGGAGGCTCGGGAGTTCGGGGGTCTCTTGAGGGCCGGTTTGGATAAACAGGGTGGCTGTCTGGGACCAAGTAGGCTTCTAGGAGCTGGGAGGGGAGGTAATAATAATACCGCGTAGCATTGGCTAGCACTTGCTGTGGCTTCCTCTGCATTAGGCCCTGCCAATAAGCACCTTCAATCCTTCTAACAACGTGTGAGAGCTGGAACAGCTCCCCAGCTTCGTATCACAGCTTTACCACTTGCTAGCTGTGCAGCCTTGGGGAAATGATCTAATCTCTCTGTGCCTCCATGATGATGACAGTACCTTCACGATGAGGACGAAATACACCAATGTATAAAGTGCTTAGAGGAGCACTGATACATAGTAACTGCTTAATATGTTATTGTTCGTTATTGAGGAGAGTGCTGTTACTAACATGCCCACTTTACAGATGAGGAAATGAGGAAAGGCTATGCGACATGCCCAGGGTGGTCCAGCCAGGATTGGAACCCAGGCAGCTGGCCTTCGGAGGTCACTCT